TAAAATTGCCACTTCTCAAATTTTCCTTTCTCACCCTGCAAGCCCCTGCTGTCACCCAAAGATAAACCGCATGTGCCTTAAGAGCTGAGCCCAGAACCAGAGCCTGGGGTCCAAATTCTAGATCTCTCATTACACCATTAGCCAAGCCAAGCACAGCTGAATAAATACTTTGATAAAAATATAAAAAACCAACCCCTGACTAAAGAGTTTAAAATCTTTGAACAAACTGAAGAAATATTCAAAATGTTTTAAGATTACTGATAAAGCCACATGTTGGCAAGTACAAAATCGGAGTACAGTAGGTACTGAATACCTACTGGTAGGTATTGAATACAGAACACCCTTTTCAAAGGTACCTGGCATTTCAAGGTGAAGGAAATTACACAAACACACCCTATGGCAAATAAATGGGGTCAGGGCACAGCTGGCAAGGAAGGGTGGCTTTGGTGCTGTCACTGAACTTAACAAAACAAACACTGGTTTCGCAACAGTCATTTCTTAGTACATGTATGGTATGTGATTTTGGAAGGGTGGGGGCGTTATCAGGATAAGAAAAAAAAAAACTCCAGTCAAAACCTATCTAAAAGAAGAGACAGTAAATACTTGTGGGATCCTATTAAAGGATGAACTTAGGGAAAATCTGAAGCCTAGCTGGCCACACACCTGGCACTAACTGTAACAAGCACATAGTGTTCTAACTTTGACTGATACAATCAATATTTTTCTTGAAACCCACATGCTTTTCCCAGAGGTCCAAGAACTGTTGGCTTAGTCCTCACACTGCTGTTTCAGGTGAGTCACTGCAAGATTCACCTGTGTGCGGCAGGTTCTTTGTGTCTGGGCACAGGTCCAGATAATCATCTTTAGAGGCCAAAAATGACTTTCCAAATTCATTGAGGTTTCAAAACCTCAATGAATCTCTTCCACATACGACCAACCAAACACTGGGAACAATGACCACTTAAATCATTTCAAATACATTCACGTTCCCCAAGGCCTGAAGCGCAGCACAAAGTTATATTCCCCGGAGTGAAGAAATCCTGTACTTCCAATTAACGACAGATCTAAACACCTGGAAAGTCAAGTAAATGAAGAATAAGTCTGTCCCCATACTCTAAGATTAAAGAGCCCAGGTTGCATTCTTGACCACAAGAGAACGGTTCGTCTCTATATGGAGACTGTATTGGCAGAGACACCACTGCTAAATACATTGACCATTAATTTGTTTCGTCCTACCATAGAAGTCTGTGGCAGCCTAAATGCTCAATATTCTATTGAGGCCCAATCAAATAAATGCCCTTCTTACTCAGTTCTAACTCTCCTTTATTACTAGATGGCCACAACCCTACAGATAAACCTGTCCCAACACTGTAAATGGGGAACCACCTGTCACCTGTGTAGTTGAACACTGCCCTACCTGGCACTGTCCAATGAAACCAAAGGAGACAAAAACACGCTCAGACAAATTGCACTACAGACTGGAGGCTTAAAGACCTTATGTAACAACCATAAATTACTGCAAATTGCTGCACTTCAAAAGAGTCTTCAGCATACTGAATACTTCTTACAGTCAACTGATGAGGAAAGTTTCATCATCCCAGGAGGCAGGCAGGTGTTTGCAACAAAGATAAGAGATTTTTAGAAAATAAAACAACCAACAGGAGCTAATGCATGTGTGCAATCACTCACTCCCCTCCTAATTAGAAAGTCAAGGTATACGCCAAATCGCGACCTAACCCACTGCCATAAAACCCCTTGTCCTACTCTCTGGGATCAAGGCCTTACTCCAAGAAGAGTTTGGTGTTAAAATGTCACATGCAAGATTAGATGCGGTCTGCCCTACTAATTTGATATATTAAAAGTTAAGCATGGAAGGGTGATGTAATATATATACATGAAGTGGAAGTCTTTCAAGACCTGCCCTAAATGCTGCATGTCCCCTACAAGGAGGGATCAGGGGATGAGGCCAGACAGAGAAATGGAGGTGCCGATCACTTATGAGAAACATCCTGACGTTGTTAATGATTCATGAAGCCTCCTTTCTTTAGGGTCCTAACTGCAACTTGGACATTTACTAATTGGATAGGCTTCTAAAAATGTAAGCGCTGTTTTCTGGTGTTAAAATATCTACTTCTTCCTAAAAGCCAGAGCTGGCTGTATCTTCTTGGTAGATAGAAAACCCACATGAGAAGGACAGAAGATAACTTCAGGATAGTGATTACTTCTGGGGAGGCAGGAAGGAGAAAAATACTGGAAAGGAGGGAGTGATTAGCTGAATATGTCTAAAAAAATAGAAGCTGAAGCAAATACATTAAAATATTAACATTTGTTCAATATGGGTAGTGGGTACACAGAAATCTATTACCTTTACCTATTTTTTAAATTTGTCTGAAGGTTTGAAGTACTTTACACCAAAAAAATTAAAGTAAAATTTAAATGACTAGGAAACAGAAAAGGCAGAAAGAAAAATGTAGGCTGGTGTCTAAGCAATGCTAAGTGGCAAAGTCCAATCATGCTACTTTGATTAAATAAAATTGCCAAGTAACACAATAAATACACACAGGCCTCCTGGGAACACTCAACTCCGAGATAACACACAGTAAAGTTAGAACTCACTTTATGGTTTTATATTTTATTACAAGATGGTTTTTTTGTTTGTTCTTTTTTTTTGAGACAGAGTCTTGGTCTGTCACCCAGGCTAGAGTGCCGTGGCATAAGCCTAGCTCACAGCAACCTCAGACTCCTGGGCTCAAGCGATCCTCCTGCCTCAGCCTCCCGAGTAGGTGGGACTACAGGTGTGTGCCACCATGCCCGGCTAATTTTTTTTTTTCCTATTTTTAGTTTCCTAGCTAATTTTTTCTATTTTTTTTTTTCTTTAGTAGAGACAAGGTCTTGCTCTTGCTCAGGCTGGTCTCGAACTCCTGAGCTTAAGCCATTCTCCCTCCTCGGCCTCCCAAAGTGCTAGGATTACAGGCATGAGCCACCGCACCCGGCTGCAAGACAGTTCTTTGATATCAATCTTATTAACAAAAGGCACATCGGTATATTTATTTTTTTGTGAAACAAAATGCATATCCACATCAGAAGCTGAACTGAAAGATATGCGCTATTATTTAACTGCATGTACATTTGTTCACCCAAATGAAAGCTGGACTTCAGGAGGCATAAATACAGAGCCTGATTTTTAGTGCTAAAGCTAAGTTGGATCAGCATGTAACTGCCACAGAAATCCACATTTCTGTTTAGCATCAGAGGCCAACAGCAGGATTTAGCCCTGTGCTAACAAACGCAGCTGCTGCCACAGAGAGAAAAACTCAAAAAATCCACAGCCTTCTGTCAGATCCTCTACCAAATGGTCTACATGAACAACCAAATGAACTGAATGACAGCTATTCAGAGCTGACATGGCCCCATAAACCTTGTCACCAGCTTTTCCACATTATCTGTTTTGGTAAACACATATCATTGAGATCATTAGATTAGGATATAAGACTGTCAATACAGCAACTCTGTGCATAGGTGTTACCACCTTACCACATGCAAAAATCCAGGGCCAGTTTGGCCCACAGTCATTTCGTTGGACTCACACATTTCTTTAAACTTGAATTGGGGTAACACTCATAAAAGTTTCTATTTCTGTATTCTCTTTTCTAAATAGAAGATCTAGCCACACTGAGACCCGGTATTCATGTGATTTGAGCTAAGTAATAGCTGCTCAATTTATAAAAGACCTGTTTACCACTGCCCCTCCCCTACCCCCTAGTGCCTACACACCAGCATCACCTATTCACACGACCTGCCCTGCCACTGTAGGCATTTTAATCTGCGGCATAATACTAAGGATGCCACACCTTGGAGGCACTGGGAATGTATGGATTCTCCTTAGACAAAATTAGGAAGTGGCCTTAAGGGAAACAGAGAGAAAGCGCTTGGTCTCTAGAAATTTTAATTCCAATACAGGTTAGAAGAGGGGAGATAGAGCCTGAACCAGAAGTCGTATCCCACCATCACACACATTCCTGTGGTCCTGGATACTCAATGCCAACGTAACTCCTTTTCTTACGCTGGTGGGTTCCCTAAATACATGAGATTTCTGACTCTCAACAATGCTCACTGTGGCTTAAAAGGGAATTGCTTCTGCTCTGATACTGCCTAAGGACTCACGGAGGTGTACTGGCTTGTTTTTGATGTCATGCTCCCCCACCCAAGCCAGCCATGGGAATTCCTTTCTATTTGCTAATGCATCAGATGCACGAAAATGTGGTGCCCAAATTCTTATCAAGTACACTAAGCATCACACTGACATTTTATAAGCCAGTAGGAGAAGAAATGATGGTTAAAAGACAAAAGATGTTTGATGGAGAGAGGAGAAATTACTCAATACAAAAATAAGTTGATCACAAAAATAAGTGTCAGACACATGCACACATAAGATGCACAGAGGGAGATGGAACAGAATGCCATTCATTAATCAGCTTCAAGAAAATAAGAATGTGTCTGTATCAAATGAAATTCCCAAGGAAGAACTGCAATAAGCTCCCTATTGTGCATAGATACATATACAGGTACATATATACATATATACACACATATGTGTGTATATCCTGAACTTTATCATAATTATGGCTATATACATATATACACACATATGCCTGTATATGTGTTTATAGCCTTAACTATGACAAAGTTCAGGATATATTAAGTTACCACTACACATATATTATACTTTAAAAAAGACATCTTACAGTAGGAAGGTCCGAGTCCACAGTATAACAGTCTCAAGATACTTTATCAAAACCTAATTTTCCTGATCAGAAATGTCAAAGTTCATGTTCCCATTAGTGCCTGCACAGTTTTGAGAAACATTTCACAGTCTAAAAAGACAAGTTTTTTTCCTTAGGGTTACAGGATCACTGTCAGAAAAAATGAAAGCCATGTCCACACCTAATTTCCACCACTTGGTTTTTCCTCCCACAGATACAAAGAAGGTAAACCCTCACCGCAGAGAGCTGGCTCCATGTGGATCTCAGTGGCTTATGGTGAATCACGATTTTTTCATCTGACTTCTGTTCTTTGGGCTCCGACTCTTCATCAGAGTCAATGTCGAGGGCCTTTTCTTTGTAGTTTTGATATAGCACAGCGTTTTCTGCAAGAAAACAAGCTCTAAGTGTCACTAATTGCCCTCAATCATTATGCAACTTGTTCTAAACAAAATTCCATATTCACACATTTGGTCTCCAGTTTAATAAATAACAAGGAGAAAAACAGATTTTGTCACTGAAGAATAATTACATAAAAGTCATTTTCTCACAGCTCTGTCCCAAACTTGTCTTCAGGGGAAGGGGAGGGGCCCATACACAGAATGCCAACAGAAGCAAAGTTTCCCTGCCTCTGCTCACTACTCAGGAAGGACAGTCAGGCCTATTAAATCATTATCATTTAAGTTAAACTGAATTCACTACCCTACCTTGTCTTCAAGGTGCATCAATATTCCTTTATCTATTTAGCAAACATTTACGATACATCTATGATGTGCTGAGAGTAAAATGGAAAACAAAAGACACCTCTCATGAGCTAACAATTCAATGCAAAATCAGTCAAATTCACTCATGCATTTATTCATTCAACTGTTATTTAGAAAATGCCTACTAGGTGCCAGCAACTGCTTAGCACTTGGAATATAATAATAGACCAAAGAAATAAAAATCTCAATCTTCATCAGCTGATGTTAGAGCATGAGAGAATAATTGCAATAAACAAACAAGTAACTTTTATAGTACTTCAGATGCTGATAAATGTCACGAAGAACAGTAAAGCAGGGAAGGGGGCTGGAAAGTGCTGGGAGGAGGGTGTGTAGACGTTACACAGGATGGTTTAGGAGAGCCTCATTGAGGTCACATCTAAGCAAAGACATGAAAGAGGTGAGAAAACAGCTGTACAAAAGGCTGTACAGCTAGGGAAAGAGCATCTCATCAGGCGAACAGCAAGTACAAAGGCCCTGAGGAAGGAGTCTGCTCGCTGTGTCTGTATGTGCAAAGAGCAGCAAGGAGGCCTGTGTGGCTGGAGTACCATGAGGGGGGAGGAAAAGTATAGCAGATAGAAATCAAGGGTGAGTAGAGGGCCTTGCCTCATTGTCATTGATGGGACTTTGATTTCTACACCAAGCGAGATGACAAGTCACCGCAGGGTTGAGGACACAAGTGATTTTACACAAATACATACCTATAAACTGAAGGAATTATACACAGGTGCTCTGAGAACAGACTGTAAGCAGGGAGTGATCTAGTCTGGGGGTCAGGGAGGTGTCAATGAGGAAAATCTAAGATCTGAAAGCTAAGAAGATACAGAGCTAAAGAAAAAGCATATACAAAAGCCATAACAGGAGCATAAGGGGTAACATAATACAGTCATGCACCGCATGATGCTGTTGAAGTCAACGACAGATCACATATACAGCAGTGGTCTCACGTGATTATAGGTGAAAAGTTTCTATCACCTAGTGACATCATAGCTGTCCTAATGTCACAGAACCATGCATTAGGTCATGCTGGTGTAAACAAACCTACACACCTACTGTGCTACCAGTCATATAAAAGTGTAGCACATATAATCATGTACAGTACATGATACTTGATAATGATAATAAAAGACTATGTTACTGGTTTATGTATTTACTATACTGTACTTTTTAACATTATTTTACAGTGTAGTCCATCTACTTATCTAAAAAAAAGTTAATTGCAAAACAGCCTCAGGTCCTTCAGGAGGTATTCCAGAAGGCACTGTTACCACAGGAAAGGACAGCTCCATGTGTGTTACTGACCCTGAAGACCTTCCTACGGAACAAGACGTGGAGGTGGAAGACGGTGATATTGATGATCCTGACCCTGCACAGGCCTAGGCTAACATGTGTATTTGTGTCTTAGTTTTTAACAAAAAGGTTTAAACAGTAAAAAATTTAAAAATAGGAAAAAGCTTATAGAATAAGGACATAAAGAAAGAAAATATTTTCATACAAAGGTACAATTTGTATTTTAAACTGTTATTAAAAAAATCAAAAAGTTAAAAAATTGAAAAGTTTACAAAAGAAAAATGTTACAGTAGGCTACAGTTAATTTATTATTGAAAAAAGTGTTTTCTATAAATTTAGAGTAAACTAAGCGTACAGAGTTTACAGTTTACGTTAGTGCACAGTAATGTCCTAGGCCTTCATATTCACTCACCACCCACTAACTAACTCACCCAGAGTAACTTCTAGTCCTGCAAGCTCCACTCATGGTAAGAGCCCTATATAGATGTACCATTTTTTATCTTTTATACTGTATTTTTCCTGTACCTTTTCTATGTTTAGACACACAAATATTTACCATTGTGTTATAATTGCCTACAGTATTCAATACAGTAGCATGCTGCATAGGTTTGTAGCCTAGGTGCAATAGGCTATAGCCTAGGTATACAATAGGGTATACTATTTAGGTTTGTGTAAGTTCATTCTATGATGTTCACACACTGACGAAATTGCCTAAGGACACATTTTTGAGAACGTACCCTCATAGTTAAGCGATGCATGACTGTATCTTAAAAGAACTAAGGAAGGTCAATGTGGCTAAAGCTTGGGTGTGTCTAGTCACCAAACAGTGCAAGGCGAATTGAGAGATGAGCCAGACAGTCCAAATCAACCAGGGCTCTGTAGGCTATGCTAAAGAACTGGATTTTACCCTAAGTACAAAAGGACTGAGTTACTTTCACACTAATGATTGCACTTTATCCTGAATGCAGTGCGAACCCACTGAAAGGAAAGATTTGCTTAATTTAAAGAGCAAAACACTGACTACCTCAGACTAATCTGGATGCTATTTGGGGTGGTCAATGAAAGACAATGGAGATTTGGGCTATGTGACTTAGAACGTATTGATGATAGATTGGATATGGGGGCAGAGAAAGGGAGATGTTAAGGATATTTCCTAGGTCTTCAGGTCCTACAACTGGAAAGTAGAAGATGGGAACACCAGAAGAGTGGGGAAGATTATGAGTTTGTTTTGGGACATATTGAGTTTGAAATGCCTTTCCCATCTACCAAAGCAAGGAAACATCTGCCTCTTTTCTCATCAACTGTAGATTGTTCTGAATGCACCATGACTAAAGTAACACTGGAGTCTACACAAGATTTTACTGATCTCTGATTGTTCTGCAAATATAAAACAGATTATAAGAGTAAATAAAGACTTGAGTTTCTCTGGTCTTCGAAGTACTTGGTGGTTGGCATAAAGTATATGCATAACATTGCTGGTACGATTTTTCATTCTCACAATGTCGCCAACAGTATCATTAACCTCATTTCATGTAGCTCAGTGAGGTTAAGGTCAGTGTCACTCAACTCATGAGGCTAAGCAGTGGGACAGGAGCCCAGGTTTGCCTGGTCTGAACATCATGGGTTCTCACTACTCAACCACACTGCATCCTGAGTTTCATTTTAATCATTAACTATAATAATCCTGCATTCCTCATGAAAATGTGAAAAAGAATTTCTATGTCATCACATTTGAGAAGAGACGAAAGCGAATACATAGAAACAGCTCCTTGTAAAAGGAAAGAACATAAAACTAGTTAAATTGAAGGTCTGCTTTCTGACTTAAAAAAAAAAATCTCAAAATTGTTAACCCTCTGAGGCAAAGGTCACAAAATCAATGTCAAATTCCAGATGTAAGGCATCTCCCTAAGTAGATATTAGGTAGTTTCTCTGTTTACTTTGTAGTCATAGAGTGGTACAAAAGGAAGGAAACTAGACTAAGAACCAGATCTGTGTCCTAGTACTGGCTGTGTTATTAGCTGTGTGACAGTGGACAAGTTACTAAACCTCTCAGAGCCTCCAGTTTCCTCAATTATAAAATCAGAGAGATGAATTTATCCTAACCAGCTAAAATACTATATGTGAATTTCTTTTCCATATAGTTCCTAAGATTGGTACAATAAATGAATTTTTATAAATTAGTCATTTTTAAAGGCTTAAAATGGGAAACTCATCTTTATAAGACGTGTATAGGGAAATGTTTTGTAATCACCCAAGGTTTAATATTTTATAACTCTAGGTGGTTTTACAATTAGCTTTACTTACAGAGGGGCATTCCCTTCTTCATTATTCCTTAAAGGTCAGGAAACTTTAACATTTCAAAGCATAACAGAAAGTAGTTACCTTCACCACCACCAAGACCCTACAGTCCTATACAAGGGCCGCAGCTGGGACTGCTCCCTTAATGTTCTTCCAGCTGGCTGACATTTGACCCATTTGTTTACAGAAAGTCCACTAATCTGATTAGGGCTTGAACACACCTGGTTAGAGGTGCTTTTGTTTTTGAGATCCTTTACAAAGTACTATATGGGTTACAAATTCTTAAGAATATGTTTGTGTCAGCCAGGAGAATTATATTTCCCCAAAGTTGAAACTTAATAAGGAAACAGGAAGTCAGAAATGATAATAAAATGTAGAAATATGGGGAAAAGAATATTAAGTCAAAGGAAATGTGACCTAAGGAAATATGACCTCAGATCTATATGCCAAACTCTCAGAATTTTTAACTAAACAGCTAGAGCTTGCTCTTCTTACTCTGTCTCCGTTTTATTGAGAAAGATGGGGATAGAGCCAAAGTAGAGAAGAATTAAAAATCCCAGGACATGGACTGAAAAAGTTATCAGCTTATACAAAATGTCACTAATTATATTCACTGTTGGTATTACTAGATGAAAATTTAGCTTAGTGCAGAGCTTTGGACTGTATAATTTGAAAAGAAGTTGGACATACTTCTCATCTTAAGCATTTTTGTTACTGCAGTTGGATTTCAACTTATAATTGGTATTCCACATTGAAACAGCAATAAAAGTCTGGAAAATTAAATGCTTACCTTCCCCATCAAACGTTCCTTGTCCTTTCAGCATTTTTTTCTAAGAGACAAGAAAAGCAAAAAAAGGAAAAAAGCAAAGCAAACTATGTATGAATGAGCCAAATAGAAAATACAGCTATTTTAAGTAAAAGTACTTTTTTTCTTGTTACACTCATTAGATTTCCAAAAGCACCCAGCAGATGAGCCCTAGAGCAGTTCACTCGTATGACCACAATTCACTGAAACAGTAAAATAAAATACACAAGGTCCTCCACACCCCATCAAAACAGATTGAGAATCCTCAAATGACCAGCAGTTCAACTCATTTCACTATCCGTGATTCACCATCACTGTTAAATTGAACTTTACTATACTTGCAGAGTTGGAAAAAAAAAACAAACACATAAAACGTTATGTAATTTTTTTTCTTTAAGACCATAGGCTCTAAAATAAAACAGGCTTGCTTGTGTATTATGTATGTGACATTTATATAGCCTAGTTCCAGTTCTCTGATTAATCAAGAAAAAATGTCACGGCCAAAAAGAATCTCTGCCCTATTTGCTGAGATCTGCCTTCTAGGGAAGGCAGCACACACTTCAAAATATCCCTCTCTAGTTTTCCCGTTTCTTTATGTCTTATTTGGCAATAATTTAGTAAGTGCAGCACCTAGTCCTATACCAAGGAGCAATACCACACAGTTCACTCCAACCTGAGGTTTTCAGCTACCAATCTGTCAAATGAAGTCAACGATAAATGGGCATAAAATGGGAATAAAATACAACCAAAGGCCACAGTGACAAAAATAAGCAACAAAAAAAAGACCACAAACTATATGTGTCTTTTTTGACTCTGGCAATTGATTTCAAAATTCACATTTTACCTGAATGACATCAAGTGTGTCATCACCACTCAAAAAACAATTCAATAAGTAAAAGCAGAAAATAATCAACAGACTCAAACGGGAATCAGTTTTTCCCATATCAGCTGTGATAACAGCTACCACCCACTCACACCTCTAAATGAACACCAGAGAACCTGACAAGTCAGGAGAGCAGATCTAAGCAAGCTCCCCTCTCCCTTTCAGCTACCTGTATTAAAAGTGCTCAGGACTCACTCGGCCAATTCTTAATTTGATGTAAAATTCTCCCTTTTGTCTTCCAGATTTTGCCTGAGCTTGAAAGTTAACTGATAAGAGTTTCACGTCTTTCCACAAAGTTGCATTAAACAGTGGCCAAAAGATAGATATACACAGGTAATCAATAACAAAAAACAGAATTAAAAGAGAATAACTGCTCCTGGTTTCCTCTGTGCTGCTCCTCCTCACCCCCAACACATTCACTTTTGGCGTGGAGAACTGCATGCCACACTCCTGCCCACTCTTACCTTTATCCTTCCCAGGCTGGAAAACTTCTCCTTGTCTTCCATCACTGCTTTCAGAACAGGCTGGGACATTCTGTTCTTCTTCTTCGAGCTGGTGGGACTGTCAAAATCAAAGCCACTGACCACCGCCCTGCGATAGGACGTGGACCTCAAGCCTCTCCGCAGAGACCCCGGGCTATCCAAGTCGTTCTCGACCTCACCCTCCTCCCCTGCGTGGCCCAGGGGTGCTCCAAGGCCTTCCACCATGCTGCGCACCTTGAGGAGTCTCTTATGGGGCTCCACATTCTGACTGTTGGATTTACTTATTTTAATTTCTGAGGCCAGGCTCTTCGGAATGATCTGCTGCTTCCCTACTTTGAGGGCGGCGGGGCTGTTTGTACTCAAAATCACGGAAGGATTCTCGGGGAGCTCATTCTCCTGTGAGGGCAGCCTCTGGAGGGGGAGTTTTTGTTCCGAAGACCTTTTCTGGGGCGCAGGAGAGAGTCTCGAGGGTACCGGTTCGGGGTCTATAGCCAACTGACGGGATTGCGAACCGAAGTCAGGAGAGTCTTTATTTGGGGCAAAGCCATTTGCAGTAGGGGAAGGCACCGGGCTGGCCAACCCAGTCGGGTCCTCCTCGGGGCTGCAGGGGGCGAGTGCTTTAGGAGTCCGCGGGGGGCGCAGCACAGGCGGCGGCGGCGAGGAGAGCGAGGTCACCACGCCATTGGCTGGGCATTTCGGGGAGCCGCCCGGCACCGCTTTGAGGACCTGAGGTGACTTGGGCCGTCGAAATCTAGGAGAGACAGCCCTGTACTCCAAGGAGACCGTCCCACCATTAGCCACCGCTCTCCGATGGTCGCCCAGAAGCAGGGGACTCCTGCGGACCGTCCTGCTGTCCGAGGCGGTGGGCACCTGGGCGGGAGTCTGCGCTGCGCGGAGCGTCCCTCGGTCTTCCACCGGGAAATCCGTGATCAGCAACCCGCTGGGGCTCTGATAAGACTGGGGCCTCGGCTTGCTCCGGCCCAGCAGCTGGGGCGGAGGGGTCGAACGCCTCCGCCACAAAGGGTTTATGCTTTTGCTAGAAAAATCCACTTCGCTCTCGCCGTCCATTGCGGGACTCGGGGTAAGCTCCGGGAGGAACAACACGCAGCTAGTTTTGCCTAAAGAGGAAAGAAGTTATGGAACTTTGCCTCGGGACAACCGGGCACGCCTTGCAGACTCGCGCGCCCGGAGCCCGGCGGTCGTCCTGCTGTTGCGCGGGACACGACTGCACGGCACTTACCCGCCCTTTCTCGGGCAGAAATCTGGGCTGCCGCCCAGGAGGATTAATCCAATCACCCTCGCGTCTCTCCAAGGCCCAGAGGCCACCCGCATGGAATGAGCCCGTCACTAATTCACGGGGTGCAAGCCGATGTACAAGAAACTTGGGACGAGTTCAGCTTTCTTGGGAAACTCGCCGCGGGACGCTCCCGTCCGCCGCCATCCGGCCTCCCGCCCTCATCGTGGGTACCCTCGCGCTCAAACTGTCCGGCTTCCAGGTGAATTTACCTTCCGGGGCTTGCAGAGCCCGGGGCCAAGGAGCACCCACCGCCCCGTGGGTCGCCCGGGTCCGGGACCAGACCGCGCTGCAAGGTCTCGGGAGAGCGCTGCAGCCGACCGCGGCGCCGGCCCCGCCCTCAAGCTTAGGCCTGCCCCAGGTCTTGGCCCCGCCCAGAACCGCCCCAGTCGCTGCCAGAAAGTAGCCACTGTCTCCCCGCCCACGCGTGCCTTGAAAGTGCTCCAGTCTCTGTGCAAAACAAATGAGGGCACCTGAGCGAGCTCAGGGGTTTCGGGCTGGTGGATGTGGTCTGGTGGCGTTGGCGGCACCCGAGCTGTGGGCGCACGAGGTCGCTGCCGGGAGCACATCGTGGGAACGAGCGTGGGAGCCCTTCCGAGGTGCAATTTATGAACCCCTGAACCGTGGAGGATCGCTCTTGTTGCAACCGAGAACTCACGGCAGAGTAGGGTTTGTGAAATGCGCGAGCAGCAGCGCAGAGTTCTCACGCAGAGAGCCATGCACCTCTCAGCATCGAGTGGTCTTAAATCCATTGCTTAAAATGCCTTGCAGTACAGATAGATTTGCTTGTTTGTGCCTAAAGTATTTCCAGAGGAGGAACTGGCAGTTGTGGGGAGGAGAACTGGATGGCTAGGAAACCGTAGAGAGGGAGAATTTCATTTCATAATCTTTGAATTTTTTATGCTTTGAACCTTGAATTACCTACGAACAATAAACGCAATTTAAACTACAAAAAAAAAAAAAAGGTATTGGTACGTAGAATAAAATTGAAAATTCTTGCTTTGAGTTACAAGGCGCCACCGACCTACCTCTTCAGCCTAGTCTTTCCTCCATTACTTCCTCCCTCACTATTCTTTGGCCACACTTACTTAAAGTTGGACTCCTCAGAATCTTCCCATTTGTTCCTGCTTGACCTCTTGGCTTGTCACTACATCAGAAAGGCCTTTCCTTGCCCCGCCTGAATTAGACCACTGCCCCGTTTACTTTCCCAGTCACTTGTTCTCTTCCATTTACGCACTTACCACGATGTGTACGTATATATGTGTGTTTATGTTTATTGTCTCTTCTGTCTTTACGCTACAGTCTGCGCAAGGGCAGGGGGACATGTTTATTTGTTTCTCCTCCTTATTCCAGGCACACACTGGTCAATTAATATTTGTTGAATAAGTGAATGAATGAATGAAAGGAATGAAGTGAGAACAGTGCCCATGCCTTCCAGAGTGCTCCGTTGCCCAATAGTAGAAAGTTGGTTGTGTCCTGGCCAGGCTCCTGCTGTGCGAGAATAATAAGGCAGACTTGAGAAGACAAATAATTTTAGACCATAAGATCTGTATAATTGATGCTATTAGCAAGACATGGGCGCTTCTCCAAGTTCTCTTTCAGCATTCATGCATTCAGCAGGGATGTATTGAGCATCCACTGTGTGTACATTATGCTGCTTGTTTTTGCCCTAGATACATTGAATGTAATGGCCAAAAATATTAAGAGGCAATCTTTGGGTGGTGAGATGATGTGTTTCATGCTTTTTTATGTTTTTCTATACTTACCAAAGGCTGTATGTGCAATGTACATGTATTACTTTGTTATGAGACACTTTCATAAGCATTATAGGAGAAAAGAAGAAATGGCATCAAAAAAATTTTAAAATTTACCAAATATTTCAGTTGGAAGATATATGGCTGATTAGACGCTCATATGTACATAGACACTTTTTAATATAGGGCATTTCTATAGTAACATGCATTACTTTTATATTGAAAAAATATAAATTAATTTAGAAGTGCTTAACTAATGACAAATGGAGTGTTTACCTAATTCAGAATGCAATGTATGACCTATGTTAAGAAGCTATAAATGGTGATGCAAGAAGCTGGCTTCTCTTCAAATTATGTTGGTTCTACAAATAAGTGTAACTGATGTTTGTAAGAAAATCACAGGATCTGCCTACCTCATTCCTAAGAGACAAAATAATACCTATCAAAACAACAACAAAACACCACGCTCGTGAAGTTTCAAAGTTTGGAAACTCACAGACCTAGTCCCTATTCGATTTATTATATGTATTGAAATCTAAGACATCTTTGATTGTATGTACCACCAAGAAAGGAAAAATGCTGCTAAATAAACTATGACGCAATGTGGGATCACATAGGATTTTTCCTTTATACTTAATTGAAAGAATGCCCTTAGACTTACTTAGACATAGATTTTTTTTCTTAGTGTGCATATATAGAAAAGCAAAATATAAACAAAATAAATTAAGTCCTGTACATTGAGACTAATTTTTCTGAGTCCTTTTTATGCAGAGAATTAATATGTGTGTTTTTCTACATTACATCATTGATAATGTAGCATTTCTTAAAAGGTTGTTCCAATCCTGTGTCTGGGATTTGCTTCCTAGCTGATGACACCCATTCTGGAAATAGGCACTATCCTACTTGACTAAACACGTAGTTTTCTCATTCAACTGAATCATATGTCACTACCTGCTATACAGCCTCTCTATTAATGACCAGAGCAAGTTTCTGACAAATTGTAGTTCCATGCTGTAACCATAGTTCTGCATGATACATGAATTGGTTATATCAGCCTCTTGTTGCTTTGGAATCTCTTTTACCTAATCTGACACATCTGGATATTACTCCTGCCTTCAGTTGCATTTCTTGGCATGCGGTTTTGACACATGTAGTATTAAATTGCATAGAATTTAATAGAAATGATGACAATTCAAACAGTTATGACCATCGTCACAAATACAGAGGCAATGCCAACTGTATCATCACTGTCACCTGGCCACTGGCTATATATTTGATAGTAAGATACAACTCAGTTTCAGAGGTTAAAATGTGGTACCAAATGCTTCTTAAAATTGAATAAATACAATATATCGAACTATTAGGAATATGTTCTATCAGTATATTGTAATGGTATATTGAACTATTAGAATATTCAATGGTATAATGCAGGATATATTGCTACATTTACTAAACAAATCTTATCACCAATTGTGTGTCTCTGGCATAATAATTAGACTGATTCTTTTTTTTTTTTTTTTTTTTGAGACAGAGTCTCACTCTGTTGCCCGGGCTAGAATGCCATGGTGTCAGCCTAGCTCACAGCAACCTCAAACTCCTGGGCTCAAGCGATCCTCCTGCCTCAGCCTCCCGAGTAGCTGGGGCTACAGGCACGCGCAAGCATGCCCGGCTAATTTTTTTTCTATATATACATTTTAATTGTCTGGCTAATTTCTTTCTATTTTTAGTAGAGACAGGGTCTCACTCTTGCTCAGGCTGATCTCGAACTCCTGAGCTCAAACAATCCACCCGCCTCGGCCTCCCAGAGTACTAGGATTACAGGCGTGAGCCACCGCGCCCGGCCAATTAGGCTAATTTTTAAGTGTAATTTGTTAACTAGTCTTAATACCTTTGCTGTTACATCCTGTGCACTTTTTATTCATTTATTTGTGGCATTTAAGTGCCGAGCATCGGGCCAGGTTTTCCTGAAGCTTACAACTTGACTCATTAAACACACCTGAAACATTGAAATAGTAATGTAAGACACCCAAACTGTGCAAGATGTGTGGCAAGCTTCCTGTTCTATGGAAGCCTTTGTGAAGAGTCTGGATAGAACTGGGCCAGAAGGGTGGGTAAAATATTACAAGGTGGTGAAGAAGCGAGGGGTATCCCAGAGAGTTGTCCCGATGTGAGCAAAAATGTGGAGGGATGACTGGACAACTGATATTTATTAAGTACCAACTATGTGTTAAGCTTTGTTATTTATTGTACTTAATCTCACATTAGTTCTGACCCTACTTAAATATGAAAACGCTGAAGCTCTAAAAGCATTTCTCATACTGTCAATAAATTGTTGAGTCAGAATCCTAACCTGGTTCTCTACCACAATCCACAGCCCATGCATCAAAACATGCAAGAGACTAAGCTCACCGGAACAGAGAGTTTGCATTTACAAATTGTGGAAGATTAATGTGGCTGGATTTGGTGAGAATAGAACGTGGTGTGTAACAGAAACTGAGGGGTCTGTGTTTTACCAGGGTGGCAACTGACAACAACTGACACTCCCTGAAGGGGATTTAAACCTTGCTATCTTTTAAAAAATGAATCTGATGACACCAGTGTCAGAAATAAAAAAACAAAAAATTGACAGATTCACAGTTTTAAAAGTAAAACCTTTGGGCATTAAGAAAAGCCGAATAGGCCATCAAGTCTGAGGAAAAACAGATTTTATTTAAATATATTTACATAACAGACGAAGTATTAGTATTCGAGCTATGTCAGAGCCATCTCACCACGACCCATGGACCCAGGAATAGTGCCGGCTCTGCTGCGCCATGTTTGGTTCCTCCAGCGTCACCACTATGAAGAAAGTGGTTCAACAGCTCGGGCTGCGTCCTGGGCTCAATAGCATGAAAGTTTCCCAGACTTGAAACGGTTCTGTCTGTGGAATGCTCAACATGATCCTCTGCTGACTGGAGTATCTTCAGGTACAATTCCCTTCAGACCGCAGAAAGTCTGTTTGTTTTTGTAGTAAAATGAATCTTTCAAAAGATTCCCAAACCACTTCTCATGAATCAGTGAGTATTCAAAAAAGAGCTCAGTTTGAAGCGTATACAAAAGCTTATCCTGCAACATATGTGCCATAATATACAAACTTCTTCTTTTGTCGGTACTTAACATCTACCTCTCTGAATTTCCATAAATTTCTATTTCACAAGAATAACTTTTATATACACTGGCAGCAGCATACAATAAAATTCTTTTTTAAATAATACCATATTTTTACCGTAACAATACAATTCTTAGTATAAAAAACCATATTGCAAATGAATAACAAAAAATACTAACAACAGAAAAATAAGCAAAGAGCAAGAATAAGCATTTTCAAGAAAACTCAAGTGTCCCACTATACATCAAAATATACTCAAACTTAATAATAAAAAAAAATTTAAAATGTTATGAGATTATAGTTTTTCATCCATTAGATTGGCAAAGATTTAAAAAAAAAAAAAGGTAATACCCACTATTGGTAAAGTGCAGGTAAAGGTGAATTATTCATGGTAAGAATGTAAATTGGTACAAACTTTCTGAATAGCAGTTAGATGGT